TCTCTCTCTCTCTCTCTCTAGAGTTAACATAGTTTTTAGTGGGAAAACCCCACGAAAATTAATGACAACACGTGAAAATTAATGTGAATATATTTCCTATAAATACGGATGTTATGTGCATTTTATTCCAACATATACTTAGGTGTGAATATCGCGAGATGTTTACAAGTAATATTTTTCCTTTCAATAGTCTATCTCATGAAATATACAATAGTGAATATAATCCATAAGGACGTTCAATTAGAAACAAACGGTTTTATCAGCAAATGAAAAAAAAAAATCCTTCATAAATACGCTCTTGTTTGCCAAATAAAGAACCAAGTCATCGCATCCCATGACACTACCTTTCACATCATCTAGTTCATAAGCAATCTTATAATTATAACCTAGCAAAAGTCTTCATCATTTTGGAAATCTTATTGTAATAACGATTTGATAGGTTGATTTATGTTGAAATAGAAACACGTCAAAGTAATAATGTAAATTATATTAAGATATATTATCTATTTTTATGATAGCTCAAAACAAGTTTCAACCAACGGTTTTCTTAATTCATTTTGTAAGCGATTTTTGTTCTCAAGTTTATTACGTGTTGTTTACTTACATTTTTCTCAATTTGCTTAATAACAGTTAAGAATCCGATCATGCATGTTTAATGATTTATTACACAACTTGCCAATGGAGATATAACCTTTGTGAGTGTATATATAGATGAAAGTTAAGAAGAACCTACTTTGATATACTTTGAGATATCTCAACTATTACCATCTTCCTGTTTCTAATGACATATTTGCTAAGGAACCTAGAAACATATTTGCTAAGGAACCAAAGAAAGTAGATGACTATATCCGAAACAGGTTCCATGGTTACCATAAATAGTCTAAAATTTAATGTAAATCATGAGTTTGTAAGTACATGTCACAATAATATATTATATATTATACATAAAGTCGGTGGTACATGTCACAATAATATCTTATATATTATACATAAAGTCGGTCATGACAGGAGTGAACATTTGGACCAAACAGGATTGGCTCTTTGACTGAACCGGTTTGAGAGAAATTTGTGGACCTTGGACCGGACCTGTTGAGGTCGGTTCGGGTCTGGGTTTTTCGGTTCTTGTATCTGTTGGACTGGTACTACTTTAGGTGTATATTGTACCAGTGGCGGACCTTAGTGGGGCATTTGGGGTCCCGGGCCACTGCTCAATTTCCGGCACGCAGTGTAAAATTTTTTTTTTTTTTTTTTTCTATTAGGTGCACCCGCTTGAAGTACGATGGACACCCCTACTAAAACAGTCTGCATCCGCCATTGTATTGTACAACTCGTTAAAGCCCTATCGAAACTTAATTTATCTATTACGACTTGGGAGTGAGTATTTGGACTGAACCAGACCGGACCGGACCAATTTTACAGAAATTGATAGACCTTGGACGATGTAGGTCTGGTTCCTGGTCCTATCCGATCTAGAGATCCAAATACTCACCCCTAGGACATGTATTAAATGAATACTGCAAAATGGTAAGTGAGAACATTTTCTTGGGATCGTTTCCTCGCGTGTGCACGAGCTTGTAATCGTGAGGTTGATGGTTTTTTCCAAAAAAAACTTCCTTCTAGACTAAGTAGAGTAAATAGTTTCTCAGTGGAATGACACTAAGATGCAACCAAAGTTATGGTTCAAATCGAACATGATGTTGTTCATGATAAGAATGTGAATTAGAAACCGACCTTGCTTTGTTATTGAGTATCGAAACAGTTTATATTTTGTCTTTAATGTACTTTCAACACAAAGATAAACATATCCAAGAAAATAAGAATATTTGAGTCATCGAAATGTAGAATAAGTTGATTTGAATAGATACAAATGAAGACATCAAAAATTTAATAAAGGACAAAAGCATAAGTTTTAAATTATGCTATTATCTCTCCAGATAAATTGAACAGAATAATTAAGATAAAAACTAATAGTTTTCAATCGTGAATCTATATTATGTATTTGTATTTCTCACACACATTTAAATATATATTTTTTTATGCTTGCATCTCATCTTTAATGTACAAAATTTTGAGTAAATTACACGAATGGTCCCTATGGTTTGGGATAATTTGCACGCTTGGTCCCTAACTTATTTTTTTAACTCGGAAGGTCCCTACTATTTGTTTTTGTTACACACTTGGTCCCTACAGTTTGTTTTTGTTACGCACTTGGTCTCTATCATATCTAAAAAAACTATTTTTTAAATAGGAAAAAATGGTAAGGTAGGTAAGGTAAGGTAAGGTGACGGGGGTGGAGGTGTGTTTATTTAAATAAATTAAAAAATCAATCGCAAAATAGTCTTTTTAGGTAAAACAGGGACCAAGCGCGTAACAAAAACAAACAGTAGGGACCTTCCGAGTTAAAAAATTAAGTTAGGGACCAAACATGCAAATTACCCTAAACCATAGGGACCATTCGTGTAATTTACTCCAAAATTTTACAAAAGCACTTACTTCTTAAGGTATTGGCAAAATTTCACAGATCATCCCTATAGTTTTAAGAATTGTCAAATTAAAGATAATTTTGTCGACGCTACATGAACGATCCTTATAGTGTTCAAATCAAACACAATTGCTCCCTTAGTCGTTACATCTAACTTTTAACCGGTTAATATTTTAAAAATAATCGATTTATCCCTAGACCAAAATTGAATTATACAAATACTATAAGAACGATTTTTGTAAATTTACCGCATTTTCAATTTTTGTTGTTATAAAATATTGTCGATTCTCGGATGATCCAACTAAATACAAGAAAAACATAATCGAAAGAGTCGATACTATAATAAAAATATACATAAACCTATATAATAAAACCTTTATATGTTATAGAAGTCAAATTCAACGCAAATGGCATTACTCATGATAAATTTAAAAAAAAAAAAAATGCCACTATTCACCCAAAAAATATTAAAAAACAATACTACCAAATGCACTACTCAATGCAAATGGCATGATTCTCGACTACAAAATGCAACCACGATTTTTCATTAAAAAAATAATTTTTTTTAAGGATTTTTATAACAGAATTTTTTTAAAAACCATTTTTACAGTAAAAAGGAGTTCATATTGCAAAAACAAAGTGTTGGAATGAGTTCAACATAAAAATCATTCTACATTTGTACTTCAAGGGCATATTTGTCTTTCAAAATTGTACTACAAACAGAGATGCAATCCTCAAATCATAATAAAATATAAACATTTTAAAATCAAAAATTAAACCAAAGTTACCTTAAAAATCCTGACACAATGATCAGCTCCACAAGAAGCCAACTGCATACTCTCACAGTCATCTTTCTTCTCCACATCTCTCCATGCCAAACGATTCACAGATGAAACATGACACATAAACGGATCAAACTGGATCACAAGAGATGAATCTTTTTGGTTTTTTGTAAAACACAGATTCCAAAGCTCAATGAGACCTGATTCCATTCCGACTGCTATAATTCCATTGTTATGAACAGGATTGATGGGAATGGGAGTGGTCCAAGATAGGGCAGTGACACTGGTTTTGAAAGTAGGTAGAGTTATGAATAGTTGTATGGTGGAAGTGGAAGAAGACTTGTTGACTTCCCATATTTTTACGGTTTTGTCCCTGGAACCAGTGGCAAATTGGTGGGTCAATGGGGATGGGTTCCATGAACATGCCCACACGATTCTTTTGTGTGCTTCTTGTCTTGTTACAAGTTTATAACTGATTCCATCCATGCCACCTGTACAATACAAATGGAATGGAATTGAATTCCATGGGAACAGAATGTGATGCAATTTTATTTTATTTTTCTTATTGCTGACCTGTTCGATCTATAGAGAAGAGTGACAGGTGGCGATCCCTTGAGACTGCTAAAAGATATTTGTCATCATGGGAGAATTCCATACGAGTGACTGTTAAGGTATGAGACTGTAATCTTCCAACTGCTTTCCAACTACCAACTTCCCATAGCCATATTTCCGCCACTGAAGCCGATTGAGCCTGTAAAAGGATTGGAATTTAGTTTTTGGTACGATGGAATGGAATTGGTTATTCCATTCCTTTGAGTGATTCCATTCCCATCGTACCTTACAAGAAGAGGCAACAAGCTTCCCTTGATGATCACAACATAGAGAAAAGATTTCATTCCCATGACCATAAAGTTTATGTGATTCCGGCCATAACGTATGCCATGCTAATTGCTCTTCAATTGGTGGTTCAGTCAAAACGGATGGAATGGCATCCGGGATTGTCTCCATTGTGTCAAAACCTTCATTTCCAATTCCATCCGTTGTTCTTTCACTTAAAGCTGCAAAAACACAAAATCAAGAATTTAAAAAATTCGAAAAGGTAAATTATAATGAAATAGTGAAATGAAGTTTACCTTGAGCATAAATAGGTTTCTGAGATAAACCAAGAGCGGACATATTTGCCCCTAATGCTTGAACATCATCAACTTGCAAGTCTTCAAAATCATGTAGACATGAAGTTGCATGATTTAATGTTTTCAAGAACGATAATGGAGCTTCAAAAACCCTAGCAACTTTCTCATCAGCCCCACTTACAAATTTATAATTCCCTTTTCCTTTAATGATTGTTAAGCAATTAATATCATGACCATGAACTTGAGGGCGAGCAATTTCATGCCAAGTGTTCGCCTCATTTAGCCATGAAGCAAATATTCTAGAGGTCTGCATGTATCAAGATTCAAGAAAGAGGAATTCGCTTCATTTTTTTACAAAAAAAAAAAGAAAAAGAAAAATGGTTATCAAATACCTGATCATGGCTGACTGACATCAAATAATCACCACCCCTACCCCACACAACATCCATCACTGCAGCAAAATGTCCAGATGGAACTTTTTGGGGTTTCCAATTATCAATATCATCACCAACATTTTTCCATAAATGGAAAGATCCACCATAACCATGGGCCAATATAGAATCACCATTTGGACTCCAATGTCCACCATAAAACCCTAAAGCAGAATGACTTAACTCACCAACAGTAACCACATTCACCCAGATACCAGTTGTTCTTTCAGGTTGCCATATCATCATAGTTTTGTCCATTGATGCAGATAAGATGCTTTGAGGTTGATAACATGATAAAGAAGGTGGTTGCCATTCGACTGAATATACCCAATCTTCATGACCAATGAGAAGAGATTCTAAAGACACTTGATAGGAGAAAGAACCAGATACAAATACAGGCCCTTTTATGTAATAAGCCAAGCTGTTTTCTGCTTTCTTTTTGTCTAAATTGCATAAAGACAATTTCCATATGCGTATGCCTTTATCTTGAGAAGAGCTTACAAGGAGAAGATTGTTTGTTTCTACAGGTAATGAGAAGTCTAAGCTTCTGATCCAATCTGTATGGCCTTTTAACTCACATGCACGAACAAACTATATGAAAATAAGCAAAAGTTTCATGTGAATTGATTATATAAGATCAAGAAAAATGGGTACATGTGGAAAAATACGTACTTTTCGTGTTGAATCACTGCAATATAAATGAATCTTGTTGTCAAGTCCTCCCATTGCTAGAATAAGATGTGTGGGATTTCCTGGTAATTCTGCTAGTGAAAGTGTAACCATTGGTTTTAAACCAGTAGAGAGGGAATCCAAGCATGTGATTGTACATTCACCTGTGATGATTATTTATAAGATGTTGAAATTGGTTTTGGATCAAAGTGATAATGAATGTGATTTTGAGATGGTGTTTTTGGTTTTTTTTTACTGAAACTAACCTCCAAAAGAAGGTAAGACTATTTTCCAAATGTTAAGCACACAATCAGAAGAGGTGGATGCAAATACTGCTTCAGTTTGAGATGTCAGAATTGCAGTAATGCAGGTGACTCCTTTCTTGTGTGATTGCAGCAGTTGTGATACATTTCTCCACTGTAACCAAATTTCAGAAATAAATCATAAGCACTTGATGAGAGAAACTTTAAGGAAGATATCAATCTGGATGAAATATTTGCATGAACAATTTGGTTGAAAATGCTTGTTTGCATAGATTTTTATATCCCAGTAAAGCATTCATTCAAGTACCTTGTTTTCTGATAGAGAGAACTCCCATAAAATGATGACTCCTTCAGCATCTCCAGAGAGTAGATAATGTTTCTCCCAATTAGTAGCTACAAAAGCATAAGAACATTTAGTTAACCCCAAAAAAATTGTGTTTCTGTGTAGTCTATTTTATCAAAATGTTATAAATTGTACCTTTAAATGCAAACTTGTTGCTTGGAAGCCAATGAGTACAGTTGACTGAAGCTTTATGACCTGGTAGCGTAGTTAATATCTTCGCAGTCTGTCAAGAAAACCTCAATTTGTTTTCATTTAGGGTTTAAAAGGAGTAAGAACATAATGATCAAAACTGGAGAAGGATCGTACAGTAGGAGAAAAACCTGAGGAGAAAAAATGGAGACGGCGTTTTGAGAGCCGAATGAAACTAAACCACAGGCACCCCAGGAAACATTGTTAACAATTCGATTGCATCCTCCTCCTATGAATACTCTCTCCACACCCACTGCTCCATTTTGAACCATGGCTGAAGAAGATATTTCAGTGCTTGAGTGTGTCTGTTTCTGTGTCTGTGACTCTGCCCGTGACGGAGTCGCGAAATCGACGGCGGAGGTAAATTTTATTCAGGCGACGGCGGAGGGAATCGTTTTAGGAGGAGATTTAGCAAAAGCAGCGGGGTGTTAGGAGTAGAAGTGGGTCGGGTCAGGCAGTGGAGATGAAACTTTTATTTTGTGCCGGCCCCTACCCGAAAACTTGGATCTAAGATGAGCCCATAAAGGTATTAGATGAAGGATGAAGCCATGATGGCATATCAATGTATCATCATCCATGGACCTCAATGGAAAGTTAAGATATAACTAGGGTTTGTCCGTGTGATGCTGTAGAAACTAAGGGTGCGTTTGGTTGTGGAAAATTTTTCAGTTTTCTAAAAAAAATTTCCAAGAAAAACGGAAATTTTAAAAGCGCGTTTGGTTCGTTTAGTTTTCCAAAATTTTCCAAGAAAATGAAAATTTTCAGTTTTCCAAATTGTATTAATTATCGTTTAAATAAAAAATAATATTAATAAAAATGGAAACTATAAAAGCAATTATGTAAAATCAGTTATGTAAGGGACCAAAAACGTAATTTTAAAATATAGTAAGGGATCAAAATTGTAAATTAAAATTACCAATAATTTAAGTTTAAAATTATGAAGGATAAAAACTGATTAATCAAAATTATTTTAGGAGAGAAAATATAAATGTGAAAATTTTGCTATAAGAAGAATCAAACTTACTATTTCCAAATAAAATCTTAGCATTTTGTACCAAACTTTAAAAACTATAATATGATAGGAATTTAGTAATTTGGCTCTACAAAAATAAAACCAAATAAACATTAAGTTGGTATTATATATATATTATATATATTATATATATATATATATATATATATATATAATCTTTATCTGGTTAGTGTTGGGATTTTGTAGATATCGTTTTGCATTTAACATATATGAAATGTAAAAAGTGTACTTAATGTTAGATGCTTAGATATAGCAATAGTTTCATTCAATTTAGTAACTTTTTGTCTAATTCATGAAAAGTATTGTTTTTTATATAAATTCATCACAAGAAGTATATATGTCCTGATTTTTAAAACTTCTTTATCTTGTCTGAACAAATTAAACATGTTTTGTTTTGAATGAGTGAAACGAGATTTGTTCAACATAATCTAAGATCTTGATTTCAAATGACTAGGGGTGAGCATATTAACCAAAAAAACGAACCATGACCAAATTAACCGATATAATCGAACCATTTTAACCGAACCATTACTAAAAGATATGGTGCGGTTTCTAAATTTGATTAATCGAATACATATGGATTGGTTATGGTTTTCATCAAAAACCGAACCAATATAAACAGAACCAAACCAATAATATTAATAAATGTTTTTATAATCTAATAGTAAATATATGGTATGCAATTATATTGGAAATAAAAATTTTAAAAAGTATATATTTGGAATTATATATGATAAGTTCTATCAATACAATTATATATACACAATCATTCACTTTTTATAACAATAAACTTCATGTTTTTCAGTTTTTATAAAAAAATATTTTTATTTTTATGTAATCTTGAATTATTATGGTTAACCGATATTAATCAATAAGCATAATCATTAACCAACTAAAACCGTTAACCAAAAGCAATATTAACCGCTACCCAGTGGTTATAAAAATACATTAACCAATTGTAATGGTTATGGTTCGGTTTTAACCAATAACCGAACTAAACCGCGTCATACACACTACAAATGACTCATTCGTTACTAAATGAATTACCATACACTCGACAATACACAAATGGCTAGTGTTTTACATGGATCTTTTAAATAAGTCGTTATAAAAATCATTACTCCACTTTACAATACTAACTAGTAAGACATTGTATTCATTTAGTGGACAGATACAATGTGTAGTTGAATACTTGTCTTTTATATATATAGTATAGATATATATATATATTATATATATATATATATATATATATATCTATATATATATATATCATCATATCTTCAATTTTAGAGGTTATAAATTATAAAGTTGTTTGTACAAATCAATTATGTATAAATAAATCAATAATACTTACCAAAAATGGGAAGACATGAATAAGAAAGGTTATTATTAAATTCAATTTGTAGCAAAATAAAGTTATGTATATTAATTAATTTATATTTTTTAAACTAAACATCATTATTAATTAATTTACATTAATAGTATAAATAGGCAATATAAATATAAGGTTTAAAAATTAATATTTTATTTAAAAGTGATAACTTTTCTATTACTTAATAACTAATAATAAAATTTAATAATTATTTCCCCTTAATAAACTATTCACCATAAGAGTTATTTGACGTCACCGCTTTGCGCGGGCTAACATCTAATATATATATATATATATATATATATATATATATTATATATATATATATATATATATATCTATTATATATATATATATATATATATATATATAGGCTTAGGATCTATGGAAAACAAAAAACTCTAAAAATTATAAAAATACATAAAAAAAAATACTTAGAGATCCCAAAAAAAAATTTGAATTTTTTTTATAAAAAATAACAGCTTTTTCTTAAAATTCGCTGAAAAAAAAAATCAATTTTTTTTTATAATTTTTTTTTCAAAATTTTTTTCAACGAATTGTATAGAAAGCTGCGATTTTTTCAAAAAAATTTTAAAAAAAAAGCTTTGTGATCTCTAAGTATTTTTTTATGCATTATTATGATTTTAGGGTTTTTTGTTTTCCAAATAACTCTTATATATATCTTATATATATATATATATATTATATATATATATATATATAATATATATTATATCTATATATAGTTAGGTTCAAATGTAAATGATAATTATTGTGTTGTTGTGTAACAAAATCTTAACCATTAGATGGAAAAAAAAAATGAATGATTATATGATCTTTGGGTATATAGTAGTAAAATGTACTAACATGTACCATATAATAACATCAAATCCATTTAAAAGAGTATTATGGACATTTGATGTTTATTTAATTATAGAATGTGTGATAATTATGGGATGAATTTTGACCATTTTTTGAAGAATTTTCAATTACAATTTGAGTATTGTAAATTTGTAATTAATCTTAATAGATTTCAAAATTAAAACTAAAACAATCTATTAAACTAAAGAACAATTCTTAACATAATACGTGTCATTCTTGAAAGAATGTAACTTTTTTTATCGAATACATTTTAAATCTTGGCAGAATGTGTTAGAAAAAGAAATTTATATTAACATTTCACAAAATATACATATTGTACTAATATTCCTGTAGAATTTTTTTAAAATATAGTAAGAAGTAAAAGTATAAAACCGAATTTCTCTTGAGATTAAATTATAATTGCAAAATATATCATTCTTATAAGAATGACCATTAAATACAAATACAAAACTGAAATTCTCTAGAGAATAAAAGAATTAAAAAAGAAAAAAAACACAAATTACAAGCACTATTCTAACATTTTCATGAGAATAAAAGAGTTATAAGAAAAAAATACATTGTGATGAGAGTTTTTTTTTTTATAAAGTCACATGCCCATATCCCCTTCTCCTTTTGATTTTTTTTTCTTGATTGAGTAACGCCTGAAAGAATAAGTAATCCCATTTAAATGGCAATCACGAATCGTGAATCAACCACAAAGATATACATACACAAATAAGAAGAGAAATTTAAATACCTGATGCCACGTACATCTTTTTGAAGGTCACTTCCAAAACGATAAATTCTTATAAGGTCCTATGCAATTTGCTACTTTCATGCAAGGAACTCCTAGGTTTCTCAACATGTAGCAGGGTCTTCTTTCAATTGAACCGCCCCATTCTTTCATTTCATGTAAATTGATAAAGATTACGAAATTTATATTAACATTTCACAAAATATACATATTATACTAATATTCTTGTAGAATTTTAAAAAAATATAGTAAGAATTAGAAGTACAAAACCGAAGTTCTCTTGAGATTAAATTACAATTGCAAAATATATCATTCTTATGAGAATGACCGTTAAATACAAGTACAAAACTGAAATTCTCTAGAGAATGAAAGAATTAAAAGAGAAAAAAAACACACAAATTACAAGCACTATTCTAACATTTTCATGAGAATAAGAGAATTATAAGAAAAAATACAGTATGGTGAGAATTATATATATATCTATATATATATATATATATATATATATATATATATATATATATATATATATAGAGAGAGAGAGAGAGAGAGAGAGAGAGATAGGTTCACGTGTTTAAAGTATTTATTGTGTTATTGTATGCATAAATGTGGGCCAATCAAAATTTAATAGAAAAAACAATAATTAAATAAATCAATAAGGGTAACTAGGTAATTTGATAAATAGCTTCCACAAATACTCCCTATAATTTTGCTAGTTACGTTGATTTTAACCTAATTCCCTCATTTTATAGATTGATCTGATGAATTCATCACCGGTGTAGGATCAGTCATTCATTACCGGTTGAAGACTCCTTCACGCCGACCATCCAATCGGCTACTGACCACCACCATCATCTTTATTGTCGACGACCACAACCATCCCCCTCCTTCCGTTTTTTATTCCAGAACTGAGAAATAGAGATAGTGATTGATAAATAACGAGATCGAGGTGCGAGGGATGTCCGACGATTGCAGACCCATTGCACCCGAATGACGTGCTCTGATGGTCGTCTAGATCGAAGAAGGACGGGGGGCGAAGCAGCGGGGCTGCTTTCGTCCTCTGTGGCTTTGAAGTACGAAGCAGGGAGGGTTAGATGAAGAAGTCAGAAAAGTTCTCGGTTAGAACAAGGAATCAAATGGGGGTCTCGGTGGTGTTTGCTCGACAATCCCGGTGTTTCCCCCTTGTTTTGGTAGTCCCGATCAACGACAGGTAAAAAATTGTCTCCAAGCTCTTATCCTGTTCATCATCGTTCCATTTCTAGATGCCCTTTTGACCAATCGAAATGTTTTCGCTTTCAAATACACAAATCAAGTTCTGGTAAGGTTAAAATAGTCTTTCTGTATAATGTTATAAGCCAGTTTCAGTGTTCCATATCTCACACAAACTGGAATCATTAATTCTATTTTTCTGTATAAATTTCAGGCATTCATTATTCTGTCTTGCTTAATATCGGTGTCTGTCAACTTCGATCGAAAAAACATCTCCGGTGACTTATCAAGTGTTATGTCACCTGAAAACATGTCTAGTTTTGGCATTTGGATATTTTCTATTACACGATCCTTTTAGTTGGAGAAACATTTTGGGAATCCTAATTGCTGTTGTGGGTATGGTGCTTTATTCTTACTTCTGTACTCTTGATACACAGCCAAAACCCATTGAACCATCATCACAGTTTCTCAGGTACATTTTTGACAATCCTCTAGTAAGTGTGGAAAATGGAGGTAGTGTGACAAATGAGGCAAGTCCTCCAAAACCACCAGTGTGGAACTCAGACAAGGATCTACACGCGTGATTTTTCAGGTATAAATACTTTCTATTAAAAATAACACATGTGTTTTAAAAGAGAACTGGATTCGGGGATTTCTAGAACATTGTAAGATCCAATTCGTTTTCCTTTTTTTATAAGTCGAATCCTATTTTCTTGATGTAAACTGATGGGGGAGACTGGCACTACTAGAAAAACAGCCTTTTACGACGCGCAATGTGTGTCGTAAAACGCTCAGACGACGCGCAAATGTGTGTCAAGGAAGGCCCTATCATAACAAGAGACGACACGCTTTTGCGCGTCGTCTATAGACGATGCGCATTTACGACACGCATTATGACACGCAATGCGTATCATTAAAACCCCTGTCAAGAAAGGCCATGTCATAAACGAAGATGACACACATTTTTGCGTATCGTAAATTTAAATGTTTAAAATAAATATACTTATATATTTATTAATTTTTAAATTAAAATTTGCATTTAATGTCTCATAATAGAACTAAAATACCATATACAAAAAAATACAATGCATTGCATAATATAAAATAAAATTTCATACTCAAAAAATAAAATAAATTGCACAAATTATAATATGTCATACAAAGAATCATTCAAATGTTAAACAAAAATAATACATTACTAACATGGGTTATACATTCCTATAAAACTAACAAATAATCATCCAACTCTGTTTCTTACTGGAATATGTGTGTAATTGTCTCCTTCATCAGCCTCCATGTCCAAAGTCGGATCTACCTTCCTAATCTATATGTATAACAAAGACACATGTGTTAAACTTGTTACCATTAACATCTGATCATATGGACTCGAGTGTTAAACTTGTTACCATTAACATCTGATTCATATGGTCCACAGAAAGCCATGTGTTCTTCACCTCTAATTCAACAAGATTGTTACCTGCATAAATGAAAACAAATAGAAACATTAACAGCCCAATTATGAACAATTTCACAGGATGCCATATCATGTATTACCAAAAATGATGATCATTAATAAGTCCTTTCAAGGATAATTTGGTCTGGATAGAAGATTAAACTAAATACAAATCATAAAGATTCTAAAAAACAGTCGACTACATTGGAATTGATGGCTTATTAGAAGAATAAGATAGAAATGAAATAATAAGAGTTAAAAATAACCATTGTGTATGAGGTACAAAGGGAATCTTTATCTGTACAGTCTATTTCTTGAAAGATGATAAGTAGTTCAGCCAAAAATTCACAATAATTAAGTAGCAATCGACTACAGTTTGCCAACTTAGTGAGGCCAAAAATTCACAAATAACTAGCAAGCAGCTATAGTTTAACAAGTAACAGCATGTGATATTAAGAGCCATAGAAAGGTACATAATTTCCTCTATTGAGATCACATCTGTAACGGATCTTATCATTTCACATCACTAAAAGGACGACTTCGCAATATAGCAACAGCTTCACAAAAGAAAATGAAAAAATAAATCCAGCATATAACAAACTTACAGTAAGCAGAAACCAGAGACAAAAATTTGGGGTAATACACCTGATCAACCAACAGACCATTGTGCTGCCTCACTTTGTCAACCACTTCCTGAGCTGCAGCCTTCCTCAAATTTCTCTTGATAATAAAGAACAAGATGTTAACAGATAGCATAACCGATGTAACTTGAGCAGTACATGAAATAGGAACCAAACACAGACCTCTACTCTTAGTATCTAGCTTTGTATCTCCTTTATCAAAGTCTTAGAATTTAATTCAAATTTTCAATTAATTTTTCAGCCTGATTATAATGAATACAACAAAATTTGTTCTAAACTGTAATTGGTTGGTGAATTTTAAAAAGTATCAAAGAGAAAGACATGGAAATAGATCCTGATCATCATTGTAATAACATTGAAATGAATAATACAAAATTTGTTCTAAACTGTAATAACCCCAACAAGCATATGATATGCACAAAATCTCAATCAAATTCCACTAACAAACAAAATCAACTTACCAGAAGAAAAATTCTTGATGAAGACAAAAATTACCTCTTGATTAGCACAATAACCACCATATTGCTGAGTGACTTCGCAACTTAATACCTTAGTTGATCAAGCAACAAACCTAAGTTCCTACTTTCTTCAATTGATAAGTCACTAACATTAAGTATGGGATCCCTTCTATGAAGCCATGTTATGTTAAATTCATCCGGCATCTCTACAACACATTCCTTTGTAACTGCATCATTCAACCTCACTGTAATAAAAGGACAAATCGGTCATTTTTTTTTGCTTTTTCCATAATAAATAGTATAAAAAAATATTTAAAGCTCATCATGACCTTGTGGTTGTTCCATTTTCACTGCTTCTAATATATCTTGTAGTTCCTGAAACATTCCATACAATCTTTCTCAGCTTATTCTTTTACAGAAAGAAGGGTATTTTCGTCTTTTTAACAGCAAAATGGTGAAAACATGTATACCTTGAGTCTTCCTTCTTGACAAAGGGCTGGAGTAGTTAATAATGCAGAGTATCTGCAATTAAAATTTTTATTCACAATTCACAATAAAAAGATTGATGCAATGCCAACATTTCCTGCAGCATCATCAAGAAAAGAATAAAAATAATACAACATGAAATATTAGAAGTGAAGACATAAGTCTTTATCTTCTTATTCATTCCTTTATCTGTCCTAAATGAGAAAGTTATTTAAAATGGTGAATTTAGGATTTCTACATGATTGCAATTTTTTGAGTATGACCAAAGATACACACTAAAAACACACTTAAGGGATAATGCATGCCCTGAATCTACATAACAAATGAGTGTAAATGTTGTATGTGAAAAGGGGTTTGGTTATCATCTTAAGATTATGCGTTTTAATACACGAGATGTTTCCTTATTCGGACTAATGTGTGTTCATCATGGAGATAGATGTTAGACACACAGAGAATTAGCTAATTACCTGCATAGTCTCTGGTGAAGTCAGTTGACTTTTACTAGTGAAGACAGGGTTTTGCGTTATCTCTCTGTATTGGGGATTGAGTATCTGTGAAATTGTACCAGGCATGTTAGCAAAGTAAACCCTAACAAACAAATAAATCTAAAGATAATGAAAAAAGAAGAAGCCAAAAACCAGATTCGTGTTCTGTGGGTTTGAAAGGAGACGCTGAATGAACTGTGAAATAGATGTTTCCTTAATTCGATATCGCTTCACCTCGAGGTCCTCATCTTCCTGATTTGATTTGGGAGACATGTATTCAACAAGAGCTGACGAAGAATTAGTCGAATGGGAAGGAGGAAGAGCGGATATCCTTGTTCTTCCTGAAGACGCTGATAACCCTAGTTCTTGGGTCCGCCCTTGTGAGGTCGGGAGCATAAAAGCCCTAGTTGTTCCTTGATATCGGGGACAAAAAACCTTAAAATCACCGGCGTTGTGAGTGTGAGGAGTCGTAGATCTTCAATCGTCGGCTCTATGAAAGATTTTGTGAGGTCTGATTTTTGGGTAAGGCGGGGTTGGGAATCGGTAATTTGATGTTATAGAAGGGATATAATGATTCAACTCTAGAATCGTCACGCTTGCTACCCACATAAATCACTTTGAATTGATTTGAAGACTCTCTTTTGTACACAAGGCCCGTACCTCTTTCGTAAAGCTCATGGTACCTGACGAACATAGGAAGAATATGAAAAAAAATCCAATGTTGGGTTGTATATGTGATATCTTCCTTCGTGTGAGTTTTCCATCATTGTTGAACTCAACAACATTAAACCATCACAAAACCAACACAATACCTTGACAAACGGGTATTGTTACAGGTGAAACAGTGAGAGGAAGGTGTGCTCAATATCCCCAAAGAAAGGAACATACACAAAAGAAAGATTTATAAAGATCCCCCCCCCCAATCCCCATCCCCCCAATCCCCCCCAACCCCCTCCCACCCCCCCCCCCCCCCCCCCCCCCCCCAATCAAAAGATTGGAGATTTCAAGCTCAAAAAAATATTTGAATCAATGGGCCGTTTGCTGCTAATTGAAACAATGGAAAATGGTCAAATAGATTTCACCATTTCGACAATAGATGGGAAGAGAAATTTGAAGTAATTATTCTACAAATAGAGCAACATCATTTTGTAGGGAAGTTCATATGTTATATATGGTGTATGATAAAAAAAAATCTTTTCGTTGTGTTTGAGATGTCCGGAAACATGGAAATACCACCTCAATTCGGGTGACATGGAGCACCTGCGTGACATCAACTATTGTACGGCTTTCAATCCTTGAAAGAACATGTGGAGATGACCAAACCATATACGAGTATAGACCATGTCTTTATCATGGGCATCATAAGGTTTAAACAGGATTTTTGTATGTTCTTACAAAGTTTGAGCATATAATTTGGACATGTATAGATATTTGTTTTTTTTTCGGAGGCACATATTTGGTGTGGATTGTTCAAGGAGGCATAGTAAAGACTCGTTTGCATTAAAAAGTCGGAACATATGTATTAGTTTACCTCAATGGAATCTGTCTTGGTTAATATTGGTGTTTTTTTATGAATTTCGGTGTTGTTTTGGTTAATTTTGGTGTTGTTTTTATGAATCTTGATGTTGTTTTTATGAGTTTTGGTGAAACTGATGTTGAAGAAAATAGTTCAAAGGGTAAACTTGTCATTTTTGTCATTATAGCATTGTACTTCTTAATTCTAACCAATTAGAATGCTAGAATGCTCCTTAGTAGGTTAAGCCAAAAAAAAAAACTTGCCCTGATGTTTTATGACACTAACCCTTCACTTGTTTGTCATTTTCTCTTTAGGAAATATTTGAAATACTCCTTGAAAATATCATGTTTCTTTACTTCCCTTCATTAAGAAACTAGGCGAATGCCCGCGCGTTGCGCAGAAGCATCTATATAACTGAAATCTTTACATGTTTTTTTTTAAATATAACAATAATATTATTGTTAAAGATATAATAATTCGTATAGTAAGGAGATATAATATATTGATTATTTTGAAGAGTAAATTACACGAATGGTCCCTATGGTTTTGGGGTGATTTGCGCGCTCGGTCCCTAACTTATTTTTTTAACTCGGAAGGTCCCTACTATTTGTTTTTGTTACGCGCTTTGTCCCTATTGTTTGTTTTTGTTACGCGTTTGGTCTCTGTCTTACCTAAAAATACTATTATTTAAATAGGGAAAATTATGGGGTAGGTAAAGTAAAGTGAATGGGTGGGGTTGGGGTGTGTTTATTTAAATAAATTAGAAAATCAAGGGAAAAAATAGTCTTTTTAGGTAAGACAGGGACCAAGTGCGTAACAAAAACAAATAGTAGGGACCTTCCGAGTTAAAAAAAATAAGTCAGGGACCAAACACGCAAATTACTCTAAACCATAGGGACCATTCATGTAATTTACTCTATTTTGAATTATATGATAATATATACATCTATTATAACTGCATAATCTCAATCTTTTGAATGACCTCTACTCGCGGGTTACTCATGAATAAAATAAAATATAATATATACTTTAATGTTATTTATAGTTGTAGTTATTATTAATTAATTTTTTAAAATTTATTTTATTGACGTTTTAATTTCTATCATTGTAATTATTTAAAACATCAAACAATTTTTTTGATTTTAAAGGTAACAATATAATCATTTATATAGAGTTATTTTTAACTATTGTTATTGTAAGTTATTTTAAGCTAATTATTTGAAAACTTTTAACGATTATAAAAATATCTTTAGGAAATATTTTTGTTAAATTGATATTACAATTTAGTTTTTGCATTTAGTACTAAAATTTATCATTTTTAACTATTCACAAAATATTCTTTGGGGTTTTTAAGTGGAACTGAAATTTATATTGAAGTTGACCCTGTAATGTTATATTTAAATTAACAATTTAAGTATTTTGTCAAAACTGTTTAAAAGTTGTAGCCTTAAATTGATAATGGTTTACATACAACAACATATTAAATCTAATAAATTAAGTATAATATGTTAAAAGTTAAATACATAACTTTATAAGTAGAAGTAAAAATATTATTTTAATATTGAAATTTAGTTTATTTATGATTACACTTTAGGTTTGATACTTATTTAACCTTATTAACCAACTTATAATCATTATTAGAAAGACACTACAATTTATCACTTTTAACTATTTACAAAGTATTATTTAGGTTGTTTAAGGTGAACTAAAATTTATATTTAAGTTGATCCTGTAAGGTTATATTTAAATTAACAATTTAAGTATTTTATACAAATTGTTCAAAAGTTGTAGCTTTAAAATGATAATGGTTTACATACAACAACATATTAGACCTAATAAATTAAGTATAATATGTTAAAAGTTAAAAACATAACTTTATAAATAGAAGAAAATATATTCTTTTAATATTGAAATTTAGTTTATATATGATTACACTTTAGGTTTTGTATTTATTTAACTTTATTAACCAACTTATAATCATTATTAGAAAGAAATTGAAAAGTCATGAAAGTTTCAAATGAATGTGGTGAAAGGAAAAATGAATGGGAGTTTCAAATGAATGTGGTGAAAAGAAAAATGCTAGCTTTTATTAACCAACTTATAATCATTATTAGAAAGACACTACAATTTATCACTTTTAACTATTTACAAAGTATTATTTAGGTTGTTTAAGGTGAACTAAAATTTATATTTAAGTTGATCATGTAAGGTTATATTTAAATTAACAATTTAAGTATTTTATACAAATTGTTCAAAAGTTGTAGCTTTAAAATGATAATGGTTTACATACAACAACATATTAGACCTAATAAATTAAGTATAATATGTTAAAAGTTAAAAACATAACTTTATAAGTAGAAGAAAATATGTTCTTTTAATACTGAAATTTAGTTTATATATGATTACACTTTAGGTTTTATATTTATTTAACTTTATTAACCAACTTATAATCATTATTAGAAAGAAATTGAAAAGTCATGAAAGTTTCAAATGAATGTGGTGAAAGGAAAAATGAATGGTAGTTTCAAATGAATGTGGTGAAAGGAAAAATGCTAGCTTTATAAGTATTTAATGATGGTTTTTGCACCGCATTCCACGTTTAATATTTGATTGTTGTCACGGGACTACTCGATCACCATGTGCCACTTAGTGTTTCTTCTACTAAGTTAGGCTTACTACGATTCCTCGACGATGTACTAACGACTTGGAAAGCAAGAGACAAAGGTTGAAAAATACTACAAACGAAAAAAAGCTTTTATTATACGAATACAAGAGAATACAAGGCAACTTTCCGATGATCTTGGAACAAATCGCTACATCCAAGGTTGTCAAGATCGGGATCCTACCTAGGATCGTTTTTGGGTTTGCAAGATCGGGATCGGGATCCTAAGATCCCACAAAATAAAACATAATTTTAATTTATAATTTTTAATCATGAAAAATATTTCAAACATTCAAATTTTCGTTCAAAAGTTATAAAAACTTCAAAATATTAGTCATAAGCCACAATACAAAATGATAAATGGTGAATTGGTAAAGGGCAAAAGACATAAAGTGGTAAAAAAATTCATTTGCAAAAAAAAATCAAGGGAAGGTAGGATCGGATTGGATCTCTATCCTACGATCCTACCTACGATCTTACGATCATACCTGCGATCCTACCCCAAATACGATCCGGTTCGTTTTTCATACCTAGGATCGTAGGATCGTGCGATCCTACGATCAGGATCGCGATTTTGACAACCATGGCTACACCCCTATTTATAGGGTCATTACACTTCCTCATCGGAATATTCTAGATGCTACTACTTCTTTCTTTATACAAGACTATTCTAGCATAATCTATCTAGACATGTTTACATGATTCTATAAAGATCAAGATAAGTCTTTGATGTCCTAGAGAATTCTAGGACGCTCTAGGATATTCTGGGTCAAACTAGCATACTCTAGCAGCTTCTCGAGTACTTCAGAAAATTCTAGATACGGTTCGTGACACCCTCCCCCACCAAAGTCCTTGATGTCCTCGTCAAGCTTTAGTTCGGAAAGCGTCGATCTTATCACAGAACTGCCATAAATCTTGTTATTGCTCCCAACTAGATTCGCTCTCGGGTGATCCTCTCCATCGTACATAATACTCTGTCCAGTTGGGCGATCCTATTTTGCGAACCTCTTTGTTGGCTAAGATTTCATCCATCTCCTTATCATACGAGACGACATTGGCGACTGGGGTGCGATGCGATTCAGTTCTAGATGGATCCTCCTTATCTTGATTGTACTGTTTGAGGAGACTTATATGGAATACGGGGTGGATCTTCAAGTTGGATGGGAACTCGAGATGTGGAGAAGAAAGATGATTATGAGAGTATGGAGCTGGCTTCTTGTAGAGCTGATCAAGATCAATAAAAAAATTCATATTGGGGTTACAAGTGTAGGACCCAATTAGAAAGTGACATGTTAATTTATTGATTAATGGATAAACATGTCCCTAATATAACAAAAGTACATAACAAACTTGTTATTAAAACCTATCATTCACTGTCAAGAATTTATGTATTTAGGACTAGATAGCTCAATCACATAGCTATATCCTAAGCGAAAAAGAAATTGAAAATGATCTGACTAACGAATCAAATCATCCCTACATTGTGCTTTCGATAAGATATGATTTTACCCAATACCCATATCCATTTCAATAAATGATAATACATGTAGAAGACTTCTAATAGAGAATCGACAATCGAGATAGAAGAATACTAGAATAGATTAAAGAAAGGAAAAATAGT